CGGCTCTCGCGCAATCGGCGGGCCGCTCGGATTCCTTCCGAGCGGATGATTTCTTGGACCACAAAGTGGAGGAGTGTGGTTTTACCGTCAGTGCCCTTCACGTCCGAGAGCTTGAGGAGCGTGTCGAGCTTGAAGGCCTGGGCCCCACCACGATACGTGCCGTCGTTCATGCGATTGCCCGTTTTGAGGACAGCTTCTAGAAGCTTTAGGAAGAGCCGGCTGCTCCTGAGTTCTTCGCATGCGACCTGAAGGAAAAAAAGAAATAAAAAAAACGGGTTCTAGGAAAAGGGATTGTGAATTTTTCTTCTGACATTTGTAGAGACATTTGGGCACTATACAAACCTCCAAAGTTGCTAAGGACTCCTTTGTTGAAGAAAAGTCCTCGTGAAAAGTGCTAACGAACAACAATGCTTCGAGACGTTTGAAGGCGAATGGAATGTCGAGCATAGCCTTGAGGAACCTCTCGGACGGGCCCAGACGAGCAATATCTTCACCATATAATCTGAGTTTCAATTCTTCATCTGCTGTGGGTGCCATTCTTAACAGAGTCTGGATGAGTTCTGATGGGAGCTCATTGCCTGATCGACATTATTAAATAAAATTACACATACCACCAGAGAAGAGATATACAAGTGCCAAGTGCAGAGAATAATTTGAGAAGAACGAAATGGAACCTTCTTGAAGAGCATCACAGACTTCTTCTGTTGTCACGTTCAATGCTTTTAGAAGGATCGCCAAGTTTTGCGATTTTTTCGGGTCAATAATCTGAATATACTGAGGAGAATCAAGAGAGGACAAGTCTTTCTTGCGATCGTTTTTGTTCTTGTCCGCTTGCGTATATCCAAAGAGAGTTTCCATCATCTCCTCATTGAACCTGAAACTGAGAGATTCATCGTCCAAACCAAAAAACTCAAAATATTGCAAAAAAAGAACAAAAAGAAAAAAGGTACTCACTGAAATGACCCAGCTTTAATCTCGTGCCACACCATTGAATGATTCGGGCTCGCGAGAACCTTATCCCAAAAAAATGGCTTCAGCTTAGTTTTTGGAGCTTCAGATTCAGATTCATCTGAGGCATTGCTTTTCTCCCCGATGGAAGATCGCTGGTGGTGGGGCCCGAGAGGGGAAGGCTTCACCGGAACCGGTGGGTTTGGGGGCGGGGGGCGGCGGACGATCTTGGGAGGCGGCGGAGGGGCCGCCGGAGCTGGTGGTTTGGGAGGCGGTGGGGGCGGTGGCTCTGGCGGTGCAGCTGGCGGCGGTTTTCTTCCTGGCGGAAGTGGTAGCGCATTTACGGTTTTACCCTCTGTTTGGGCTCCATTGGCTGCAGAATCAGCTTGTGACGGGTCGTGATTAGTGGCATGTGATAAACCGGCGGCTGAAGGGTTCTTTGCAAAGTCTTTGCCACTCGGGTTACTCAACGTGTGGCCTGAAGAACCTGAAGGAATCGTGTAACATAATTCGTAATAAATTTGAAAAGTTGACAGTGTAAATTGTCTAAATATTTGACTGAGTTCGGCAAAAAAATCAGTTAATCTGAAACGAACCTGACGAAATGTCACTGATGGTGAAGTTGAGGAGAGGCTTCTCATCCCTCTGTCCCTCCTCCTTCGGCTCGACTCGCCTCTTCCTTTTCAGACAGACGAACAACAATAGAGCCACAATCACAAGTCCCACAACGGAAATCGTCACTATACCAACTAGCATATACTTCTGATTATTATTATTAATGTTATCACTATCTTCGACATGTGGCAAGATGCTCTTCGGCAAAGTTGGAGGTTCATCATCCATGGGGGGAATTGTGGGCCCTGGAACCGGGCCAGGTGTCAAAGCTACTGTCAGAACTCGATGGTGCTTTCTGTTCATGTGCCTTAGGTATTTTCGTGGGATGTGTTCTTTTTCGCTGTGGAAGTTGAAGATAGGTTCTTTACTCACGACAGTTTTTGTTTCATGTAATATCGAATATTTGTCTTTGGGGGCTACCGAGTTGTCTTGCAACTCTTTTATGTAGTGATCACATTCTTGTTTAGCCTGTCAGGTAAGCGATAATCAAATTTTTTAAGTTTCATACATGTGATCTGAGATTGGAAAAAGCGAATAACATTTTCAATAGAAGGCGAATAACGTTTCATCAGCCAAATATGACAGAACAATAATGAAATGAAATAAGGTCCCTGACACTCATAAGGAAAAATAAAAACTTCTCTTCTACTCTGCCAAATTAGTTCAGCTAAAGCAACATAATCTTGAACTCTTTTATACAAATAAGGATGAAGATGTTTCGAAAAGCTTAATAGTAACAGCAAATTAAAAATCTCGAGATGCATTCTATAATAAGCATTACCATTGGAACAATAACAAGTGTAATTAACAACATAAGCACGATGCATCCAATGCATAAGTAAATTATAGACAACATAGATTCACTGCTGTTCTATTATTTAACAAAGAACTACAACTAATTGCTGTGTAACTATATCACACCACAGATAACAAACACAGAATGAATTCCAAATTGCAACTACATTCACAAGAAATCAATAGCGAACGAAATTTCACGGACCATGTATTCGTTATCTTCTTCGACATCCAAAGAAGTCCCGTCTTCAACACAGGTTTGAGCTAATTTCTTTCTTCCTTCAGAAATATTTGCTGCAAAAACACATATACAGGCAACAAAAAGGGATAAAAATCTAGTGTTCATTTTTCTCCCAAATCACCATTAACCCATACCCATTTTTCTACCATTCTCATACGAATCAGCCTCCAAAAGAACAAACATAGCCCTTTTTGGCAATAGCTAAGCACACACACAAGACGTGCCCCCAATGAAGAACAGCAATAATCATGAATCTGAAACAATCCAGCTTCAATATGAAAACTCAGCCAAAGAGAAATCTTCACAAGCCCACAAGCCCACAAATCGCAATCAGCTTCTGATTTTAATCTGTGAAAAGAAAAATATAAACTTTCGTGTGTAACGTACAAAATTTCCAGCAACCCTTCAAACGTCACAAGTATTGTATCAATTTTTCACCAACGTAACCCAGAAGATAACTCTTTCCCTAGACCCTCGATTTTTTATATACAAACTAAAAAAATAAAAAAAATGGTGCCCTCATTCAGAAATGGAGCTCAATTTACAGTTTCGCCGGCAAAAAAAAGCCTTTAATGGCTTCTCTGAAGAGGATTTTGGCGGAAAAAGGAAGAGAAGATAAAAGGGAACAGCTTTTTCCGGTCAGAAAAATGAATTTCTGTTGAGAATTATGTTCGGTGATATGGTGCATGTTTTCCGGAGGCAATACAGAGAGGGGACGCGCAACACAAAAATGAAGTGGAATGAAACGTGCGAGGAACTACGAGAAAATAATAATAATAATAATAATAATAATAATAATAATAATAATAATAATAATAATAATAATAATAATAAAATTACAATTAAAATCTTTTAATTATATATTAAAATAAATTAAAGTCAAGTTACTATTGGAATAAATCAAATGTGTGCAATTTTTAATAATTTGTAATCATATTTATCCATATATTTTTTGGGTTAATTTCTAAATAAACTTTAACTTTTTTGCGTTTGACAATTTTAT